TAGAATTTTAATTTTCTTTCTTCCATATATCTCTCTTGCTTTCATATATTGTTTTCTTTTTCAATCAAGTATTTTAATGATCAAAATTAATAAAATTTAAAATATTCATTATTGAAATAGTTAACTGTGGTTGGATGTCCTACGTATACATGAATAGACAGTTGTAAGTAAATTTATAAAATCAAATATTTACAAATTTAGTGAAACTAACTAGATTTTAACCCGCGGTGTTCCGCGGGATAATTTATTTTTTAAAGTTAGTATATATAAAATTTTGCAAATTATATCTCTTTATAAGATATTTATATTTTATAGTTTATAATTATTATTAAGTAACGGTATACTACGAGTCCACGAGACAATTTGTTAATAAACTGAGGATTTAACCCGTATTAAAGAGGCATGTTAAAGATATTTTAAAATTTTATAAATATTGATCCAAACCCGTCCGCCATATAAACCCGTTCTGAAATATAACTCGTCCCGTAATTTCTTAACCCGTCCAGTGATTTATTTTCTAAAAGTAGTGATTTTAAAATTTAATGATTATTTATTATATATAAAAGTTTACAAATTGTATCATTCTCTAAGACATTTATATTTTAATAAACTGAGGATTTAATATGCATTTTAGCGGCAATGATATTTTAAAATTTTATAAATATTGATTCAAACTCGTCCACAATATAACCCCGTTCCGAAATATAAACCGTCCTGTAATTTTTTAACCCGTCCCGTGATTTGTTTTCTAAAAGTAGTAATTTTAATAATTTAAAGATTATTTATTATATATAAAAGTTTGCAAATTGTATCATTCTATAAGGCATTTATATTTTAAGACATTTATATTTTATAGTTTACAATTGTTATTAAGTAACATTATACCACGGTAGAACTTTTGGTTTTATACAATCTTTTCTTAATGAAACTGATTTGATATGTCTAATATTGGTGGTATTAAAAAAAATTAAGGATTTAATCTGTATTGAAGCGGCGGATTAATGATATTTTAATTTTTTTTATTATTGTTGATTCAGAAACCTGTCCCGCCAAACCCGTCCCGTCAAAAAACCTATTTATTTTATTAATATTGATCTTATATTTATGATATGATTATGAATCATTGTCTAAATATTTTAGTCGATGTGGAACGTTGAACACACATTTTTTCGTCAGTTGGATAATATATGTCCGTTTTAAAAATTTCGAATAGTATATGCAGAAAAAAAAATTGATTTTTTTTACTTCATGTACTTTATTATGATTCAAAACAGTTAAAAACAAATCAAACAAATAAGATAGAAAAAATCGTAATTCTAAATCTTAATCAAATCTTCTAAAAATCTAAACTATTAAATATGGAATATCTGGTGTATGAGTTGGGTTAAATATAACCCGAGCCAACAAACTTTTTATGACCAAAATTTATAGACGGGTCGGATATCCATTGTACCTAAATACATTTTGCCCCACCCACTAAAAATGTGCTTCAAAATTACTAGTATAGATATGAATTATTTTGTATATTCTAATAACAAAAAAATATATATTTATTCTCCTTCCATATATTCTCATTTTTTGTTAGTATTAACTGAGATTAAATTTAAGTCAATGATAAGACTAATTTTAAGATGAAATATTAACAAATTTAATGAGACTTGTGAAGGTTTGATCTTTGAAACTAGAAGAAACTAGTATTTTAATGAGACTTTTGCATAAATTAGTATTTGACTTATATATCCTTAATAAAATGAATTAATTTACTTTTTGAAATTTTATCTCTAATAGTAGTTTTAAGTAAATATTTATTAAAGGTAAGGTTACTTTCTATTATGCACTCCTCAAATAATAGTATAAGATTTATTATTAGAAAATCACATCATTTTGTAAAAATTAGCATTACATGTTCTCAAATCACATCCTTAATCACATCCAAAATCACTCCATAAATCAGTCAAAGTGAAAATCACAATGAGATTATCTTGTTCTTCTATTACTCCCTTTCTTAATAAACATTAAATGGATAAGAACCACACTCTATATATATATACATATACATATATATATATATATATATATATATATATATATGTACACAAATGGTGCAAAGTTTTACGACAACAAAGTCATTGCCACTCTTATCTCGTCACCCACTCCAACCGAGGGTTCCAAATTATCTCACTTTCAATAGATTTGTACTGCAAATTTGTGTATGAGTTCGATCTTATAGGTAGACCTATATCATATGATCTAAAAAATGGATGCTATATAATGGTTGGAGGAAATGGATATCGGCTTTGTATTGGTATAGCGGAGTTGAGCGTAAATGACCATAGTATATTCATACCATAATGGTTCCTTGGAATTCGTTGTTTGGCGATCATGAATAACAAGGAATCTTTTTCACAAATCATCGCTGTGGTTATAGCTATGACTTGGACTACGACCTCAAACCAAAACCCGTTTATTTTTTACCAAGATTGTGATCCGTAAAGATGAAGTGGATATGTGTTGTCAGTTCTGTTTATTTTAATACTTTTAATGATCATTCACACTTAAAAGTTTACAAATTTTTAATCATACAAATATAAGTTCAAACTAAATATATTCATTAAACATATATGTTCACATTTATTAATTACGATGAAAGAAAAGATATTGGATTTTCTATAGCAAGGTTTGATCTTTGAAACTAGAAGAAACAACTAGTTATGTTTTTGTATCGCCCAAAGTCTGGTATTGATTATGTTAGAATTTTCAAGAAAAATATAAAATTGAATCATGAGATCGATATATAATTAAAAAGTTAAAACCATAAGAAAAAAATTTCACTCATTTGGTATGCTAATTTCCTTTAGCTTAGGCTCGTTAATCAGTCGCTCAAGAAAAAAAAACATTAATTACTAGAATCCAGCTAATTGGGGGTTTTAATAGGCATTTTAATTATTAGTTTTCAAATTAGATTAGCGTAAGTGTATTCTATATATTTTGATAAACGATTTTAACTATCATTATCGACATGCCTTTTTTTTTAACTTTATAAGGAATCAACGTATCAATTTTAGCATGTTTATTAGAGTCAACATATATTCCCGCTTTTTAGAAAAAATTATATTAATATTTCTGTTTGAATATGTATTATTCTCACAAACCTAGCCTTATTATAAGACAATATGAAAAATTAATAAATCATAATCTAGTCATTAAAGATCCTACACAAATAAATTAGTTTGTCATCTTCTTAGTATTTATTTATTTAATTTGAAATCTTTCCAATATCTTAATCGGGAAAATTTTACATTTTGACTCTTATATAATATTTTACTTTCAGGTCAAGTTAGTGTCATCTCAACAGTTTAAATAATTGCAACCATAACAAAGTGCATTGATTTCTTTGATAATCCCTTGTCAATTGTATATATCAATATATGTAAACACTAAATGTATTGTGGTTACTCTTCCATGCATATACTTCAGTACTTAATCCTCTTTAAAATATTTATGATAAGTAAAAACAAATATGTCTTTGTTTTTTGCAACAACTTAATTGATCTAGCTCAAAGAGCCACGTCGGGAATATTGTTTACATAAGTAGAGTATAGCGGTTCGGTACACCTCAAAGTGCATAACAAATATGTCTCAAGTTTATGTTTTTCTGCCTAAAACATTATAATAATAAAAATACTAATTTGATAATGCGTATGGAGTTTTCCATTGGTTGTTGTTTCATATTTTACCAATTAATTGACTCACTCATCTTTCATATATCTAATTTATTTTTATTTAAGTTTGTAAAAATGTTCCAAATTTGTTCAATAAACTAATATAGTATCATAATGTCAAATTTGAAACATAAATACTACCAAACGACATTTAAATTCTTCAAACATATAAATATATATATATATATATATAGAAATGTTATATGGAAAATTTTTTAATGACCTTCTATATAATTTTATATATATATATATATATATATAATATATTTATATATATAAAATATATATATATATATATATATATTTAAGTTTCTCACCTACCTCTTCCTTGATTGTAAATATTAATAAAAATTTACTTATAGATGTCAGCAAGAATATAAAATGGAATATTAAAAATTTATTGAAACTATAAATAATCGATTATTATTATATATTCGAGTAAAACTTTTTTTACCGCTCTTGCTCTTGTATAATTTTTTAAAAAGTAATTTAGTATTAAAATTTAATAAAACAGAATATTAATTAGTGAGACAACTAATTGTGATTAGATGTTTCATAAATTTCTATTGCTTTCATATCTATATATTTTTAATAATAGAATTTGTTTTAATTTTCTTTCTGCCATATATCTATTGCTTTCATATATTTATAAATTTTGTATTATAATAATAGATTTTTTTAATTTTATTTCTTCCAAATTTCTATTGCTTTCATCTATGTTTTTTTTTTCTATAAGTATTTTGATACTGAAAATTAAAAATTTCAAAATATTCATTATTGAAATAATTAATTGTGATTGGATGTTTAAACTCATATATGAAACAGAGTTGTGAGTAAATTTATGAAACCAATTTAATATGTTAGGTAAATGTGAATTAACATTTCTGTATCTATTATTGATTATAATTAAATATTATATAATATTTATACTTAACATTTAAAACTAAAAGATTTTTTGAAGATGTGAGCTGTCATGTTTTTCTATTTCAAAGAAAATATATAAAATCTCAACGGTTCTATTTCATAACTAAAGCTTAAAAGAAAGCTTAAATATAATGAGCACATAAACATTATTAAAGAATTTTAAAAGATAAGACATATATGTGAAAAAACACATATAAGACCAAAAAGTGAAATAATAGGAATAAGAGTATCACAAATCTTTTACTTTAAAAACAACATATCATTGTGAAAATAGAATAAAAATATCACCATCATCAAACTGACAAAATTAAAAAAATAAATTGTAGTGCAATCCATTACAAAACACAAGTTTTAAAGCAAATTATAATTTTACTTATCAGTCAACTCTCGGAATTATTATAACCACATTAAACAAAAACCTAACAAAACCATTTATTATTGGTAATACTTTGAACAAGTAACATGTATGATATCGCTTGAGTTGGCGGCATCAAGAGTGGTGGAGGATTCTCTAGGGATATGATGTTGGTGCTTATGTTGCTGACGGTGGATGTGGTTGTGATGGTTATCATCCATGCATTGAAACGTCATTTGCTCCACCGTATACCTTATTTGCTCAGGATGGTTCATCATTTCCATAAACCATTGTTGTTGGTTCTCATTGTGATTCTGGTTTAAATTCAGATTCAGATTTCGAGGTTGCTCATTAAATCCAACATGTTGAGCTGCCGGATGACGAAATTGTTGATGCTCAATAGGATTAAAAAAATTCGCGATAGCCGCGAATGAGGAAGAAGAACCCACCTCATAAATTGTAGTGGTGGGAGCGGTTGTAACCACAAAATCCGCCATTAATCTATTCCCTTCAGAAATAGTCGCTGCAACAGAAGAATATTCGCCAATCTCTATTCTAGAATTTCGTAAAATCTCGATCCTGCGATTAACATCTTTAAGATATTGTTCAATCATATAACCCAAATCATTAAGATCCACAAGATTCAAATGAATCATCTCCATGTTTCCGATCAAACATTGGAACATGACTTCAGACATCTCGAGCTCCCTATTGTCCTTTCTTTGTCTCCTCAAATTATCAGTCCCTTTAGCGATCCTTTGTTTAAGAAAACCCTCTTGATCTACCATCTTTTTGTGTTGATCCATCTTTGGGAGTGTCTTAAATTCTGAAACCACTTTTTGCACACCGGAATTGGATGGCCACACTTCAGGGCTGGTATCGTACGGACTGTAGATGATCGTGCATGCGGTGATGCCACATAGAGTTGAGAGTTCATGTACTTTCTTCATCAAACCCTTCTTTCTTTTATTGAAAGTTGCTTTCCTTAAAGAATCGTTGGAAATGTAAGCAAGTTTCACTTTTTTCTCGTCATTAAAAAGTAGTTCTTCTTTGTTTGTGTCTTTTGTTTTGAGATTGTGAATAGATAGTATTATATAGTACTAAAAAAGTACAAAAATTTGTTTCATTTAGTAAGTGACAATGAATTTTAGATTACAGCTAGACAAAAAAATAAAATATATTTATAGCTATTAAAATTGTGTTTATGGTATTTTTCTTTTATTTCAAGAAAATCTAAACATCCAAATCAAGCTTAATGCATGACCATTATAAAAAAAATCTGAAAGGATTGAAGTTAAAGATGAGAACCGTTTTTCATTTTTACATGTATTATCACAACTGATTTGACATATGAAGAACTATAGTCCAAAAAGTCATAGACAAATATTATATGAAAATAATACGATAATGATAACATCAAATAATAAAATAGGATAATAATGTTTAGCTAGCAAATTTAATTTTTAACAACAAAAATCAAGAAATATCAATATTGTAATGTTATTTTAATCAAGATGCAATTAGTATAATTATTTGAGAATATAATTTCAAATATGGTGATAATTGATAAGATTTGGTATTATAAATTAGTCAAAGATTCCTTTTCAATAAACTTTTTTGATTATTTTCCATATTGGAGACATTGAATCTGGGTTATTGACTTGTGAATATATCATGAAATAAGCATATTCTTAAAATTTTGTTTCATAAATCTGGTGCTATATATATATAAATATTGATTGGTGCTTTATCCACTTATTATTAAAAGGGAAGTACAAATTGAAAAATAGTCAAATTTAGCCTCAATTTCAATTTCAATTTTGGATTTTGTTCTTTGCTAATCAAAATCGACGAGGGTAATTTGGTCAAAAAAAATCATTAAACCTTAGTAGATCCGCGTCTTAATACTCGGGTGGGTTAGGAGTAATTTACTCTTAAGCACGTAGTCAAGTTCTTAATCGGGTTTAATTAGCATCCAAATAATTCAATCTTAGCCATTCAAAGTATTTTGTAAATTTAGCTCATTTTTGGTATCTAAATATGAGCATATTCGATCCCTAATAAATATATATTCGATCCCTAAAAACTGCAAATTCGATCATATATTGCCTAATCCCAAAAAAATCGTAATTACTATCTCTCATAAATATAATCCTAACCATAACCAACTCTACAATATTCATCATTTATCTAAATATAGCCAATCATTCAATTCTATTCCTAATTCGAATATATTTTGGATTTAGTATCTTTGATTTTATGCTTTGTCTCCAAGATATTCTCCTAGATTTTAAAATTATTGGAGCCAAAAACCCTAGCATTCTAGAATGCTATAAATATCAACGTCATTCTCATTTCCAATCCATCACTCAAATTCCTCTAAGCTTAGCATCCTTCTTATTTAGATATCACAAATGGCTCAAGCAATTGCTTACCTCGATGACATCAAAACATACAAAACCACTTGGAGAGTTCAGGTCTGTGTCCTTCATACCTGGAAGACATTTACCACAAAGTTTGGTGAGACTTTCGACATGGTTCTGTCTGATGTCAAAGTAAGAATTCTTTGTCATGTCTATATTAGTTCAATATATTAAAATAAGTTGTCTAATGATATACTAATATATTTCTATTTCTATGGTAGGGCAAGAAGATCCATGCGTCTGTGAAGAGAGAGCATCTCAACCGTTTTGAGAGGCTCATGGTTCCAGGAGAGTGGAAGGCTATTGAAAATATTGGATTGACTTATGCAACTGGTCAGTTCAAAGCAACTGATCAGTTCAAAGCAACTGATCATCGTTACAAAATGGGCTTCATGGCTCAAACAAGAGTTGTGAGGATGGACCCATTGTCTGATTCTTATTACCTGTCATTGACTCCTTTCAATGATGTTTTAACTGGTGGTCTCAACCAAAACTACTTGATTGGTACATTTTCATATTTCCTATATTTTCATTTTTACCTAATCCTTTATGCAATATATATTGACGTTTTGTTATTCTCTTTTGGTTCAAGATGTTGTTGGTCAAATCGTGAATGTTGGTGAAATGGAGACTATCGACGTCCAAAATAAACCTACTAAGAAGATTGATTTTGAACTGAGGGATCATACGTAAGTTTCATTCATTAGTTCTGACTGCATTCAAATTAAAGAGCCTTATTTTTTTATCTAATATTGCTATTAACATATTTAGGGATGAAAGGCTACCCTGTACTCTGTGGGGTTCATTTGCAGAACAAGTTTTCACTGCCTGTGAAGCTTCTGCTGGTGAGATGGTCATGTTTGGTGAGATATGCTAAGATCAAGACTTACAAAGGTATTTTGTTTTGGTATTAATATCATACATTTTGTTTTTTTAAATCTTTTAAAAATTGAACTGATGACACTTTCTTTATGGTTTGCTTTCTAGATGTAAGGAGTATCTCCAATGCTTTCAATACATCTCAGATCTTGATCAATCCAGACATCCCTGAGATTGTTGCCTTCAAAGAAAGTTTACCAAAAGATGGGCTTGATCTTACTCTTCTGGAGTCTAAACCAAAGCAGGAAATGATCGAGCTTCCTACAAGGGATTTCTATCTTCAGTTTCCTAAGAAGACTGTCAAAGAAGTCGCTGAGATGTTTGATGTAATAGTTCTTTTTTTCTTTTACATTCTAATTTGATTGCATAGTTTATTCTAACCAACTTTTAAATGTTCCTATTTTCAGACTGGGAGGGTTAAGGTGCTATGTACAATATATGATATTGACAGAGATTGGTCGTGGTATTATATTGCCTGTAGGAAGTGCAATAACAAAGTGTCTAAGGTTGTCACAACTTCTCTCAAGCCACAATTCTGGTGTGACTCTTGCCGATCACCTGTGTGCAATGTGGTTGCAAGGTATGGTTCATAATCTAATGATATATTAATGATTTATTTGTTACTGAAATATCTAATTGTTTCTGTAACTCAACAGGTACAAGCTACATGTTAAAGTAATGGATTCAACTGGTGAGATGAAGCTGATGCTTTTTGATAGTATGGCTTCTGAGATTGTTGGCTGCCCAGCAAACAGTCTCCTTGATGGATCTTTCGATGAGGTTGAGGACCCAGAGAACCTACCTGATGCGATCAGACATTTGACTGGTAAGACCTACCAGTATCTGGTCTGTGTTGAGAATGAAAATGTGTGGAATGGACTGGATACTTATAAGGTATCCAGAGTTCTTGCTAATGATGGTGTTGGAGAGGAAGATCTACCAGATGATTCAATTGATCAGGTATGGATTATTCTAAAGTTTCTCTGAGGTCCTACCCCCTATTATTTGAGAAGAATTCGATATATCAATAATCCTAATCTTATTATGGTTTAGACTCAGGGGAGCCTAATGCTTACCTACTCTGGAGAGCCTTCAGAGACTACTACTCCATCTTCTAAGAGGAGTAGTGACAGTTCCCTGTCACCAGCTGATAATTCTTCAACAACTAAGAAGCTTTGTCTTGAGTCAATCAACGTTGTGAAGATAAAGCAAGAGAAGGGTGTGAAGACTAATGAAGATAAAGTCGATGGTGACAAGCTCGAGGGTGTTGCTGTGAAGCAGAAGGAAGAGAACACTGATGAAGACAAAGTCAATTTGGACAAGCTCAAGGGTTCTGATGTTAAGCAGAAGAACAAGAATATGAAGTAGTTGACATCCAACAATGTTTTTTCTTTTTGGAGTTGTGTTTTCAATAAGTGGTTTATGTTAGCAGTTTCCACATTTGCTTCTGTTTTCTAAAATGACAATGTTATTTGGTTCTATTGGTTTTTCTTACAGTTCATATCTATTGTTTTTCCTTTATATTTTAATTTGGTTCATATTTTCAAAAGCAACTAAACGACAAATAAGTTTCTTTTGAAATAACAATACCCTGTAAAACTTCCCAAAACCAATCAGAGGCATCTTGAAAACAAAAACCAAGATGAAATAACTCTGTCAACAAAATCAATCAATGGTCAAATTGTTTTCCAAGATTTTGAAATTTTAAAAAAATAATAAAAGAATTTAATGATATTGTGCCTCTTTTAAAAAACCCTTGATGCATATATAGATAAGTGCTTCACCAGTTAGTTACAGAACCACCAAAAAAAACAAAGTAAAAAAAAAACACATCTCAAAGACAGAATGGTTTTGGTTAGTTCTTTGTCTGATTTGCAACGTAGGATGACGTATTGCATGATTTATGTTAAGATAATGTCCATATGGAATCATCCTCCAAAGAATAGAGATGAAATTACAACCATGATCCTGGCTGATGTTAAGGTATTGAAGATCTAACCACTTAATTATTTCGTTATTATCTTACTTCTTAACAGATCTAAACTGTTGCTATTACGAAATCTCTGATTTAGGGAAAACGAATGGATGCTACAATTCCAACAAGAGTATACAATGAAAATTTTAGAACAAGACTTAGAGAAGGAAAATGGTACCTTTTGTTAGACTATAAGGTTGTACTTCCTACAAGGAGTGTAAGGTACTCACAGCATCCATATGAGATTGAGTTTACCTGCAAAACATCAATGGACCATGTTAGGTCTAGATCCAGATGGAATTTCTTCCAAGAATATGATTTTCATATGATCAAAATTGCAAAGCCTGAGGAAAAAAAATTTGTTGTTGGTAAGTTATTATTACATATTTTAGTGTATTTAATTTTATGCATTATGTCTGTATTCATTTTCCAATGTATATCAAACATCTAACATACTAATTGAATTAACAAACAATTTAGATACCATTGGATTGATTCACAGTGTTGAGCCTGTGGAAATTCTGCCTTGGGTTAGTAGACCTGGGGAATTAGATGAAGAGAAGAGATACATAACATTCACCATCAAGGATATATTGTAAGAGTATTTTCATAAACAAGTTTTTGTTAATTATTTTAAAATCAGAAAAGGAAATAGGTCTAGGTCAATATGAAGCATTTTAGACTAATTCTCTACTGTATATTGAAAAATTGTAGGGGACGGTTTATGAATTGTGTTGCATTAGGGAAAGCTTGTGAGGATTTTCTTTTGCAGTGGGAAGAAAGGGTAAGTCGTGTGCAATACACTCATGAGAAGATAATTGCATCAATTCGATTTTGGAGGATATCTGAGTATAAAGGTAATTTTATACCACTGTGATAAGACATTTTAAGCTAGTTTCCAACACTGAATGCTAACCTGAAGTTGTTTTGTTTTAGGTAACCCTTGCTTGCTCGCAGAAGAGGGTTGTTCTAGGACATTTATTGACCTAAATTTCCCGGATTTTGACCTAGCTCACTATATGTAAGCTTAAATATGTTTTAGATGCGTATATAGTTATTCTCTTCATACTATTTTTAATGTTACATTCTTATTTCTATTCAATACAGTTCTGCATTCTCTATTTGCGAAGAAGAAGAACTGAAGGAAGAGGTTGTTGATTCCAACTTCTAGATCAATATGAAGCATGGAATTACTTTTCTTACAAATCTCATTAGAACGTATCTTTCCATGGCTATGTAATGCTTCTTTAAATGTTTTTTTAATCACTGAAAAACATAAATCAGTGTTCTTATTCTGTTGGTTTGATATTTCTCTAAGAACTTTTGCTTAATCTTTATAAGTTTTTTCATTTGTTTTTTTTCCTATTGGTTCTTTATGTTTAAAAGTTGAATCCTTCATCTTAATTCAATATATGATGCTTAAGTTATGTTCCTTTGGCCTAAATTAAATAACATAGTAAGAATAGACTTACTTTTATGGTATTCTTCAGCATTTATTTTCCAACTTCACCATAAGCTTAATGCACCTAATCCTGTCAAAATGAATCAGTCATTAAATTATTACGGATTATTTTCAAGGAGATTAAGGTAACATACAAATATTCTCCTCTTACTAAATACACAACTGTAAATATATTAATATTTCAGAAAAATAATAACAAATATACGGTTAAGATTATAAAAATCTTAACGGTGAGAGAAATATGGAAACTCTAAATATATCAAATCATTGTTATAATTACTTTTCCAATTTCAATGCTAATGTCAGTCCATATGTAATCATCACTTATAGATAATATTGAACTTTTATTGTTTTTTTAGTCTTAAACGTTTCATATATCTTATAACTGCAACTTCTCTTCATAAATATATTACAAGATCTCCACAGAAGTTAACACAGGGAAACCCTAAATCTAAAAACATTTTCCTCAATTCTAAAAGTTTCTGTTAAAAATGGAACCTCATCATTATCTTTCTGATTTGAATGTTCATGCAACTAGATGGTTGGTGCATGTGAAGATATTAAGTTTATGGAAAGAACCTACTTCTTCTTGGAGGACAGAGATCAGAATGATATTGGCTGACGAGAAGGTATAAAATTCTATGACTTATACGTTTCTTGCTCTTTTTTATAGAATGTTTCTTTGTTTTGCAAAAACTCATGCCAAACTTTTTGATTTCAAAAGGGAAACAGGATCGATGCAACCATTCCAAATCGCCATTACAACTGGAATTTCCAGGCTGTACTGAAACCAGGGTTATGGTATCGCATGTCTGACTTTGAGGTTCTGCGTCCTGATGAGAAGAAAACCAAATATTCTTGCTTCCCAATCGAAATCAAATGCATCGCAGACACTACCATGTGGCCTATTACTCTTGAATGTCCTTACAGTTTTTTTTATTTTGTTTTTCCACAAACTGTTGAATTTGCACAGGAAGAGGACAAAGAGTTTGTGACTGGTAAGAGATTTTGTAATGTTAGACAGTTTTAGATTATAGAAACCTTACTGAACTGTTTTTTTTTTCTCTTTATATCATTTTCTTTGATGCTATTGGTGTTGTCAAGGCTGTGACAACCATCAAACGGTTTCCTTATGTCTGTCAGAATGGAGGGACATATTATGAGTCAAGATATGTGGCTTTCAAGTTAGTGGACTATGAGTAAGTTTGACTTTAATTAAGTTTGTAAAATCCAGTGTTGTTATTTTCCTATCATCTGAAATTACTTTTTTACATAAAAGTTTTGTTCAAACATACTATAGGGGTAAGGAGATCAAGTGCTGTGCTGTTGGTAGGTGCTGTGAGTTGTTTGTAAACAAATATGCTCAACAAATCAGTAAGATTACTTACAACTACCAACCTATAGTCGTTGTTCTCCGAGGGTGGAGAATCAAAGAGGTTTTTGGTAAGTTTTTCTATAGAACTTTCAAAATGAAAATTTGTTTTGTCTATAGCTCAAGGGTTCTGATGTTAAGCAGAAGAACAAGAATATGAAGTAGTTGACATCCAACAATGTTTTGTCTTTTTGGAGTTGTGTTTTCAATAAGTGGTTTATGTTAGCAGTTTCCACATTTGCTTCTGTTTTTTAAAATGACAATGTTATTTGGTTCTATTGGTTTTTGTTTTGGTTTTCCTTACAGTTCATATCTATTGTTTGTGTTTGTGTTTTTATATAAAGGTATCAAGTTGCATGAGTAGTCAGTCTAAAAGAGTATTGATCAGTCTAAACAGAGTACTTCTGTCTATATTTGTTATTAACTATACAGCACTTTCATCCATGAATTTAGGTGCAAATGTTTTAATGAGTGAACATGGTTGTTCCCATCTCTACCTAAACCCAAGGTTTCCGGATGTAGATGTCCCAAGATACATGTAAGATTCAATTCTAGCTTATGATTCAAAAAACTACATTCTTTTGTTCTGTTTCTACAGTCACTCTTTGTTTAAATTTACACAGTCATGATTTCATAGAGAACCAAAGAGCTGACGATGACAATGTCATGATGGAGGTGGTTGCAGAGAACCAGTAGATGTTCATTGCTGTTTGGTGGAGGACCTATGTTTACTTATGTTCTGTTTTATGTTTTCCTATTGCAGTTTCAGTATTGAACTCTTTTGTTTTTGTTTATGCAAACATTTGGTCACTAATTGATGAACCGGGTTCATATGTAATAAGTAAAACTCTATTTTATTTAAAACTTCTATCTATATCATGATAGATTCAAGCTATTTTCTAAAACTTTTAATTTTACTATTCTAGAACAAAATGCATTGTTACGAAGCTTTATTTATCTAAAGTATCATTAACCATTATATGGTAACTTACTACAACTACTACATACAATTAAAAGTTTGTCACATTGAGAATAACTAACATTTCCGTATGATAAGTGATCTGTTCCTTGCGTAATGGGACTTACTCATCTTATTGATCATAACCTGTTAATGAGAAATAAAATATTAAGATTTCTTTAACTAATTAATTATAGATTCCTTTTTTAAAGGTATATAACAACGAGATAATATTCTTTTTTGGTATTAAAATATATCAAGAATATCTAATTGATTCTAAACAAAACAGACTTTATTGTTAGCAAGATAATAGACCATACATGTTTAATCGTCTAATCCTTGAAAAAATATTGATTATTTGATTACAGAAACATTTTCTAAATGAAGAAAAGAAATTCATTGGTTGATAAAGGTTTAACTGACGCAACTCCATCTTCTAAGAGGAAGTGTTCTACACCTAAATCCAGAGTTATACGTAATTTGCAACAACCTAATTCATCTGAAAAGCAGACATCAGTTCCTGTGAAGTCAATATTTGGTAGGGTATTTACAGACATAACAAATTTGACTCATGTGGTGTTAGAAGAGTCTCTTTGTCCTAGAGGGAAAAATTTATCAGTAACTGATACAGGTAAATCATTATATTAATCATTCTGCTAATTTTTTGATGTTTACAGTTTTGCCTTTATGTTTTTCTAAATGTACAATTTGCTTCTTTATAATTGTTTTTTAGGTTCACTAGATGAGAACTCATATCTAACACCTGTTTGTGTTAGACAATCATTGTCTTCTCAAGAACCATACTCTTTATGCTCGGTTCCAATTACTGCATCCATTCACTACTCTCAATGCCAGGACTATATAAATTCAACTGGTATATTGATAGTACATTCTAACATATTGGTGTTTTTTTTTATATATATAAATCTGACTTATGTATTAAATGTATCCTATAATATACTGCAGAACTTAGTGAATGTTTGATAAATGATCAAATTTAGCTGATATACCAATTAAACAATCAACCTCATCACTGGGCAGCAAGGATTTCCTAAGTTCTATTAGATCCGAAGCAATCAAATGTGAGCAGTTTTTATCAACATAGCTTCATTTTTTTACAGCTTTGGTTAGATACTCTTTTTTTATCATACTCATATAATTACTCATACACAATTTTCAGCAACATTGGCAGATGAAAATGTTCAAAACCTTTCATCAGTCAGAATAAGCCAATCTTATGCTCAACTTGGAGCAGATACCTTTTTATCCGACATAAGAAGAGAAGCTACAAAAAGTAAGTTTTTATTAAAGTTTGGTTTTTGATATTGTATTTTAATATTCAGCTTATTTCACATAATATTTATTTCCTAAATCTATTCAGCTAAGAAGAGAACTGCTAATAGGGTGTTAGGAGACATATCAAACCAACCTGATAGAAGAAGACGACATGAACCACTTGGGAGCAGTGTATTATATTCTGCACAAAACAAAGAAAATTATACACCAAACTGTGAGTATATATTTGATTTCATTTGCAAATATTAATATTAATTACAAAATCTTTATATGACATTAGACATAAATTTACCATTTTATGCAATTTCAACAGTTGAATATTCAGAACAGCAACCAAAACAAAGAAAATCTAAGAAGACTCCAAATTTGGAAGATTGTCGTGTAAATTTATTTGACTCCACACCTTTTGAAGGTAATAATCATCTTCTATATAGTTTATATTTGGCTTTGGATTTTTAATGTTTACTAATAAAAGTTTGTTGTCAAACAGAAGAAGAAATTTCTGATCTAGAACAGGAATATGATGTGAGTAGTCAAGAAGATATGGGTTCTGATAGCAGTTCTGGATATGAAACAGAATTATCAGTTGAAACAGATGAAGTAATACATGTTCAGAGTAAGAGGGGAACATGTAGTAAAGGGAGAAAAGGAATTAGTCTTAAGCGAAGGAAATATACTAAAGGAGCATCTAACCACATAAAAAGAAAAACATGTTACTATTAACCAAACTCATATGTCCATAATTTCAGTGTTTACATATGAAAAAATTATTAATTTGTTTTTATTTGATTTCTTTTTCAGAAGCCCTCATTGACATTCCTTATTTAGATCACGGTGATCCAAATTGGAAATGTCAATACTGTGGTGCTATGATGTGGTATGATGAGCGTGTTAACAAAAGAAGAAAAAGCAAGAAACCAAAATTCTCTCTTTGCTGTCTTCAGAGAGCAGTTAAATTGCCATTTCTTAAAGAAGCACCTGAGTTAATTAGAGAATTGCTGAGTAAGGATGATGCACTAATTAAGCAGGCATTTCCGTGAGAATATCAGAGCTTACAACATGTTATTCAATATGACTTCCTTTGGCGGTAAAGTTGATAGATCTAATCCACAGGGAAAAGGTCCTAACCATTTCCAACTACATGGAGCCAATTATCATTTGATTGGTAGTATGATTCCTGGTGAAGGAGATTATGCTAAATTCTCACAGCTTTATATTGTTGATACTGAGAATGAAGTTGATAACAGATCTACTGTCATGAGGTACCATATATATTTAATATTATTTATTAATAATTTTTAGTTGTGTATTATATTAACTTTTATGGTATTTTCACTAATTTAGCATCCATTCAATTTCTGTGAGTGTAGCAAGGGAAAGAATCCAAAGAAAACAACAGTCAAGAATCAAGTCAGAAAGGACCTCATTGCAAAGCTCATCAAATTGTTAGATGATTGCAATCCCTACGTTGAAAATTTCAGGATGGCAAAAGATAAGTTGGATAGTAATGATGGTGAACCGTTCTACATGAAGATTGTTAGTGATAGGGTAGGAAAAGATGGAAGAACTTATTCCAACCCTACAGCGTCTGAAGTTGCAGCATTGATTCCCGGAGATTTTCGTCCTGAAATGCCTACAAGTGATATTATTGTTCAAGATAAGAAAACAGGACAGCTTTCACGAATAAGCAAAGTTCATCCTTCTTATGTCCCAATGCAATATCCTATCATATTTACTTATGGTGAAGATGGATTTAGACCAGGAATAGAAAAGGGATATACAGGCAAGACAGAAAAACAATCAAACAAGTGTATAAGTATGAGGCAGTGGTATGCTTTCAGAATACAAGAGAGATTTCATGAAGCACAGACGCTACTACGTTCAAAGCGTTTGTTCCAACAATTCTTGGTAGATGGATACACAACACTGGAATCCAACAGGCTGTCCTATATTAAATTTAACCAGTCTAATCTGAGATGTGAGAATTATTCTACTCTTAAGGCTGCCTCAGAAGCTGGAAACACCAACATGGGTGAACAAGGTAAATCAATACGTATTCCATCTTCTTTTACTGGTGGACCTCGCTATATGTTGAATAGTTATTATGATGCTATGGCTACGTGTAAAATGTATGGTTTCCTAGACCTGTTTATAACATTTACATGTAACCCCAAGTGGCCAGAAACAACTAGATATTGTAAAGAGCGTAAACTTAATGCGGATGATAGACCAGATGTTGCGTGTCGGATATTCAAGATGAAGCTTGACTCTCTTATGAAAGATTTAACAGAAGACCATCTTCTAGGAAAAACTGTCTCTGGTAATGAATTGTTTTGTCTTCTATATATGTTTTATGTTTGTTTATTTTATTGCATGTTACTATAAGAATATGAGTTTACAATGGTTATTGCTAATTGCAGCTATGTACACAGTGGAGTTTCAGAAAAGAGGACTACCACATGCTCATATACTCTTATTCATGGATAAAAGTTGCAAATTCCCAACATCTGATGATATTGACAATATCATCTCTGCTGAGATTCCAGATAAAGCTAAGGATCCTAAGTTATATGAGGTTGTAAAGGAGTGTATGATATATGGTCCATGTGGTGCGGCCAACAAAGATTCACCATGTATGGTTGATGGCAAGTGTTCTAAGTTTTTTCCTAAGAAATTGGTTGAGCAAACAACAGTTGGTAAAGACGGATACCCAATATATAAAAGGCGGGAATCTCAGCACTTTGTTGAAAAAGGTGGTATTAAGTGTGACAACAGTTATGTTGTCCTGTATAATCGTCTTTTATCATTGCGTTATAGAGCTCACATCAACGTTGAGTGGTGTAACCAATCCGGTTCTATCAAATACTTATTTAAGTATATTAACAAAGGGCAAGATCGTGTAGCTATCGTTGTTGAACCTAAGGACAAGAATACTGATACAGATAGTGGATCAGCAAATGGCAGTAAAGAAAAAAGTAAAGATGAAATCAAAGATTACTTCGATTGCAGGTATGATATAATATTCCTTACTGAATATATCTACTATATCAGTTCTATATTTTCAGTTTGCAATAATTAACTGTCTATTCCCTTACTAAATAGGTATGTTTCAGCTTCTGAAGCTGTTTGGAAGATATTCAAATTTCCCATCCAGTTTAGGACTACACCTGTGATGAAGCTTTCTTACCATCTACCTGGAAAACAGCCATTATTTTTCGATGGCACCGAGAATATTGATGAACTATTGGATAGAAAAGCAAACGAAGATTCTATGTTTATGGCTTATCTTAATCTGAATAAGGAGAATGAGTTTGCTCGACAGTTCACTTACGCAGAGATTCCTCAATATTTCACTTGGGATGGACAGAATAAGCAGTGGAAGCTTAGGGAAAGAGGTTTCTGTATAGGGAGAATAAACTATACCTCCATTAAAATGGAACCAGAATATTACATGAGGATCCTTCTTGGGATAGTAACTGGTCCAAAGAGTGATGAAGATATCAGAACATACAAAGATGTTGTGTATGAGACATACAAGGAGGCATGTTTGGCACGTGGTATTCTAACAGACGATCAAGCTTATATTGATAGTATAGTGGAAGCAAGCTTATTTTTCTTTGGAGATCATCTTCGTAATTTCTTTTCTATGATGCTTTTGGATAAATGTCTTGCAAGACCGGAGTATGTGTGGGAAATGTGTTGTGGAATTTTAACGGAAGACATCGAAACAAAGAAAAGAAATCAGTACAACAATCCAGGTTTGTTGAGATACAATTTTGATAAAAAAACAGTTTGCTTGCTTTCCGTTTCTGTTATAATGAAATAGTGTTTTTCTTTTTTACTCCAGATTTAGTATTAACTGATGCTGAGAAAAGAAATTATGCTCTTCAAGAGATAGAAGATATGCTGTTGTGTAATGGGAGCACTCTGACAGACTTCAAAGACATGCCTAAACCTACTCAAGAAGGTATAGATCATTCAAACCGTTTCATTACAGAAGAGAAAAACTATAACCGTGATAAGTTGCGAGAAGACCATGATGAGTGGGTTAATAAGATGACTTCTGGGCAAAAAGGCATTTATGATGAGATCATTGGTGCTGTTTTAGAAAACACTGGAGGTGTCTTTTTTGTTTATGGATTTGGGGGAACCGGTAAAACTTTTATGTGGAAAACTCTATCTGCCGCAGTTCGAATGAGGGGTTTGATTTCTGTCAATGTCGCGTCTAGCGGGATTGCTTCTTTGTTGTTAGAAGGCGGTAGAACTGCACATTCTAGGTTTGGTATCCCTATTCATCCTGATGATTTCACAACATGTCATATCGTGCCTAACTCAGACCTTGCTAATATGTTTAAGGAAGCATCTCTTATCATATGGGATGAAGCTCCTATGATGAGTCGTTATTGTTTTGAGTCATTGGATAGAAGTCTAAATGATGTTATTGGATATGTCGATGGAAAGCCATTTGGTGGTAAAGTTGTTGTTTTCGGAGGTGATTTCAGACAAGTACTCCCTGTAATACATGGTGCTGGTAGGGCAGAGATTGTTTTAGCTGCATTAAATTCATCTTATCTCTGGGAACACTGCAAGGTCCTTACTTTGACAAAGAACATGCGTCTTATGGCTAATGATTTGGACAAAGATGAGGCAGAGAAAATTAAAGAGTTTTCTGATTGGCTCCTGGCCGTTGGTGATGGTAGAGTTTCAGAGCCTAATGATGGTGAAGTTCTCATAGATATTCCAGAAGATTTACTGATTAAAGATGTAAATGATCCTATTGAAGCTATTATCAAAGCAGTTTACGGAGAATTGGATTTGTTGCAGCCTAATAATGATCCTAAATTCTTTCAAGAGAGAGCTATATTGTGTCCAAGAAATAGTGATGTCAACACCATCAATGACATCATGCTTGAGAAACTTAATGGTAAGCATTACGTATTAATACTATAATCTTTAACTGTATATGTATAAGAAACTTATCTAACAAATTTTCTCTAAACAGGTGAAGCAATGACTTATTTAAGTGTAGATAGTATTGATCCTCAGGATGGCGCTTCATTGAACAATCCTGTCTTCACACCTGATTTCCTCAATAGTATCAAGCTTTCTGGTTTGCCAAATCACAGTCTCAGTCTCAAGATTGGTGCACCGGTTATGTTACTGAGAAATATTGATCCAAAAAATGGGCTATGTAATGGTACTAGATTGCAGATAACGCAGATGGGTAATCATATACTTGAAGCCAAAGTGATTACTGGAGATAGAATCGGAGACAAAGTGATAATCCCTAAATCTCAGATATCACCTTCAGATACCAAATTGCCTTTTCGCATGAGGAGAAGACAGTTTCCAATATATGTGGCTTTTGCAATGACAATAAACAAAAGCCAGGGACAATCACTTAAAGAGGTAGGGATTTATCTTCCTAGACCAGTATTTTCTCATGGCCAGCTGTATGTTGCCTTATCAAGAGTCACTTCCAAAAATGGTTTGAAAGTTCTTATTGTGGATAAAGAAGGAAAAACTCAGAGTCAAACAATGAATGTCGTCTTCAAAGAGATCTTTCAGAACCTAAGGAATTATGATAGTTTTAGTTTTTTTGCTTCTGTTATTTAACTTTGCAGATGTTTTGTAGTGTTTTTTAGAACAGCAAGTTCCTTTCCATAGTCATTTTAATCCAAACATAATCAGACTCTCTTCAACTACATTAGTGTAAGTTTAAGAGTTCATTTCTAGACAACATATGTCGTCTTTTAACATTTACGACAAAATCAAGAAACCTTAGTTCAATTATAACTCCGATTGAGACAAACAACAACTTCAATTTGTGTCTACAACTGAAAAAACAGATCCAAAACTAACCTTATAGACATGATTATTGCTTTAAGTGTCGTCGATTTGGGAAATTTGATCTGCAAATGGTTTCATTCAGGTTCTGTTCTTCACTGATCCCCTCTCCCAGATTTCTAACAGAAACCAATTCATCATCTCAAGTGCTTTATCCGAATCCTATATGAAATCTGAAAAAGGTAATTGATCACAGAATCGAGATACTAATTAGTGTCTCATATTATTACAGATGCTAAATTTTCTTGAAACAATTCAATTGAATTAGAATGAAGCTTACAAATTTAGAAGAATTGGCGCAGAGAACATGTCGATTGATGTGAGCTTATGATCTGATAATCAGCTTCTTCGGTATCATCGGTAAAGCTTAAGCATGTCAATGGATGTTAACTTTCGGTGGAGAACGAGAATCATCGTTCTCATATGTTTTTTTTTTTTTTTTTTTTTTTTTTTTTTTTTTTTTTTTTTTTTTTTTTTAATACACAACTTATGTTTCTTTAATTTTTTAAAAATACAATTTTAATTTTATTTGTTTACTTTATCTTCAATTTTTTTTAAAATAATTATAAATGTTAGAATCTTTGTTATGCTAAAAACAAATTCTCTTCAAAACTATATAGTAAAAGAACACTTATAATCACAAAAACAATTACACCACTTTTACTATTTCACATTATAATATCTACTTTACTTATATTAACATTACAAACCCATTTTATAATTAATACACCTATTTAAATACATTAAATCACATTCTTCTAATTACTAAATAAAAACCAACCAATTTTATAAATTATGTATATAAAACATAATCAACTACTTAATAAGAAAACCGCACAAAATCTACGCCCGCGGGATACCGCGGGTTAAATCCTAGTTTATATATATATTGGTTAGCAAATTTACAATACCCATAGAAGTATAAATACTTCATAAATAAAGACATATACAACTAGACTACATTTTTCTTAAATGAAAAAAAAATATAATTGAGGGTTCTAAGTTTAAGAATAAAATTTAGAAGCGACATGATGAGAAAAAATTTGTAGCCAACTTGTGATGTTATTAGAAGATTACAAGATCACATTTAGAAATGAATCTGGCTATATATTGGAAAATCAACACTCTAACAAAATGATATATATAATTAGAATAAACTAATTGGTTTATATTTATATGGAATTCTTAAATTTTAGTGTAATTTAGAAAAATATTTACAAAATATTTGTAGAGATATTGACAAAAATAACCATAAAAGCATCTATAATTGGTCAACGAAAACATAAAATATTATGATATTCTATGTATAAGTTATTAATGGGACTGTATTGCTCTTGCCTGCATATTTTCTTTATTCTTGTTTTCTTTTCCTCTTTCTTTATTTTTCAACATCAATTTTTCCTTCTCTCTTTATCTTTTTTCATTTTTTATAATACATGTTTTCATCTCTCTGAACTTATTTGCTATCAAGTTTTTGCAAAAATTAATTAAATCTCGAAATTCCTTTTAAAACTTCGCTCAAGCTATGATTTGATTTTTAAAAAATATAACTAAAGATGTATGTGTGACTTAATAAAAACGTGTCATTCTATATAGAAGACATAGACCGACACATATATCACATATAAATCATAGAATATAGTAATTCTATCTAAAGTATATTTTTGGAGATTTTAGTTTATTGTAGGTCTTAAAACTTACTTTTTGGTTAGAGTCTTTTGGGTTTAAGGTTTTTAATATTTATTTCTATTTTATTTATGTTAAAGTTTTGTTAAAATAATAAAAATAGCATTCACACCATTGTTGTACAACACATAGATTTCCACATCCTTTACATAGAAACAATAAAGTATAGTAATATTTCAAAATTAAGAAATTCACCATTCCCCGGAATTGAGTTAATTTATATGGTTTTTTTTTTTTTGGGTTTAGGATTTAAGTTTTTGGGTGTAGGACTTATTATTTTATATTTTATTTATGTAGAAATTCTGGTTAAGATAACAACAATAGCATAAATATCAGTCTATATATAAAATGCTAATATTATATTCTATGCACTTTATAAAAACTGACGAGATTTCACTAAAAATCATATATTTATTATTCGAGTAATATTTTTTTATACTAGAAAATGATCCACGCGTTGCATGGGTTGAGAACTTTATTATGATTTAGTTACTATTTTGTTTTCAAATTTTTAACTGTTTACTTTTTTTGTTTTTTTTATCACAATTGTAGACTAAAAGTTTATGATAGTGTTGTCGATGTGTAACTTACATATAAACTTCTAATATGCATGCTATTCAAAAAAATATCTTTACTTTTCAGCAAAAATAACTAATTGACCAACGATGAGTTGACCTAATAATTATCCCCTTGATTACCAAAAACGTAAGGATCTTGGACGTCACGAGTTTAATTCACATTTGGAGGGGTTTGCTCTCCAAATGAAATTTATATTACATGGTCTAAGCCTCGTCATGGGGATGTTTGGGTCGAGAACCTCCTAATCATAAATAAATAAATAAAAAATTAATTTCAAAGATTTAAATAAATAGAATTTAACATTTATAGTGTTCTAACAACTATATTCTTTAACTTTTTTGTCTAAAACAAATAAATTCAAATTTAAATTTAACATTTTTGTTTGGATAAATTTTCATAGTATTTTTTCATATTTTAAAATATCATTTATTTTACTTAATTCATTTTTTAATTAATTATAATTTCTCTTAATTATAAATAACATTAATATGCACTAAATGAACATTTAAACTATATTTTAATATAAATTTGCTTAGGTGGATGTTTAGGTGAACATCCTATATGGAAAGAGAACTCTCTAATTATATTTAGTATAATTCGTTTTTTATTTAATTAAAATTTCTATTAATTAGTAACAACTAAATGAACATTTAAAATACATTTTCATATAAAAAAAATAGTTTTGCTTAGGTGGATGCATAGGTAGACACCCTACATAGAAAAAGAATTTTCTAATTTTATGTATATATCTATACACTTTGAGCTTTCTGTCTATTTTTATTGTTCATAATATGTGATTTTATTATCTATGAATCATGATATTTCATATACTAGAATTTATACATATACAATAAGTCTATATATATATATATATATATATATATATATGTATATATATATATATATTGTTTTATGCATAGCCGTGCCGAGAACTTTTAATAAGATTAAGAACTTTTTGGTTACTAAGAAAAAAAAATGGACACTAATGAGATGTAGAAAAAAAAAAAGAGAAGAAGGAACATATATAACATTCTAGAACACACTGCAATGATCCTAATGGAACAAATGTCTTTAATGTATATAACATTCTAGAACACACTGCAATGATTCTATAACATTATATATATATCTATATATTACATTTTGTTACTAAAAAGAAAGAAAAAAATGGATACCCATGAGATGTAGAAAAAAAACAAATGAGAAGGAGGAGCATATATAACATTCTAGAACACACTGCAATGATCCTAATGGAACAAATGTCTTTAATGTCTATTGTCATAATGTGTACGTAACAGAACAAAAGAGGGAGGGCTACAATTACAAACATAACAACTCTAGTTCCTTCATGTGATCCTTTCTTAACTTATGTCTCAAAATTGGACCACAGGACCATGTGATTTTTCCCTGCGGATTTTAAACACACTTATATGTTTATACAACCACCCACCCAAATTTTATCATCATCTGCACCATCATCATCGTTACCAATACCAACATGTACCAACAAGAGCCTACCATATATTATCCCATGCACACAAGATTAGGAAGCTTGATAAATCTATTTGCTAATGAACTAGATTTTTTTTATTTTATATATATAACAATTTTAACATTAAAAGAAAATAAAAAATAATAAAAAAATAATAAAAACTAATCTTCATCATTTCCACCATCATCATCAATACCAAATTACCAATACCAATACCAACACGTACCACAAGAGCCTACCATATATCATCCCATGCACATAAGATTATGAAGCTTGATAAAATCTATTGGCTAATGAACTAGTATTTTAATAATTTCAACAGTAGAAGAAAAAAAAAAACTAATAAAAAATAATCTTGACCAAAACATCTCATTCAAAAAACAAAATGCAATCAAGTCATACAAAAATTGCAATAAATTATGAAAGGGCAAAAATAAGAGATTTATCATTATTTATTATCTATGACAAACACATCTATAATGATAAGCACTGTTGATTGGGTCATTTCCTTCGACTGGAACTTGCTCTGCTCTGCATTTGTATCTACATCCTCTGCACTCGTTGTACGTACAAGTTGGTGCCGTCGACCCTATCATATGCCTCCTCCTTGAATTCTGCTTTGAAATATTTTCAAATTAAACATACGTATATACTAAAACCTTTACTATATAGCCAATTTAGCTATAAATGGATTGGTTCCTTGTAGTAATTACTTGCAAATGAGAATTTACCAGGAGATGTACTTGTGAGAGAAGTGAGACCGTATTTTCGATAGAACGAGGTCTTGAGGCTGATTCAAGAAAACAAAAAGACACAAAAACGAGAGAATTGGAAAACAAATCATTGTTAGTGGTATTGATACTGAAAATAAGAAGATTGAATAAGAAGGAGATGGGTGAAGAAAGAGACCTTGAACTACATAATTTCCAAGAACCAAAGCAAAGAGAAGAAAAAAGATGGTTATGCATCGTAGCTTGAAATTCATCATTTCATGCTTCATCCTTTACTTCTTCTTCTTCCTCTGATTCTTAATTCTTCTTCTTGCTTTATCGTATGGACCAAATGTTTTGGAGAGAGATAAGTTTGTATATTTGGCTGTAAGTTTTGTCTTCTACTTATCATCTAATGGTGAGGTTTGTGCACACGTAGAGATAAGAGTTTGAAAATACAGAGGATGAGTTTTCACTTTTAACCCACAAGATTGTAAAAGAGTTTAACAAAACAAAACAAATATTGTAAAAGAATGTTATATTAGAAATAATCTTCTCTTTTCAGCATAACATATACATTTAACTCTTTTTTTAGGTCAACATATTATAACTTTTTTTTGTTTGTCAACATATATCCAACTCTTCTAGTATGTTCCCTACACTCTTCTTGTCTGCCTATCTCATTTTCCTGTCTTACATCTAATTATTAAAAATTACTATTACTTTTTTTTGTCGGCAACTGAATGTCATATTAGAAAGTAAAACATGTACAAACTGTTTTACTACTTTATAGGGATTTTATTCGAGCAGCTCTAGTGTCGGCTACATTATTAAATGAACAAGTATGATTACAAAGACAGAGAATGTCATGGATAAAATGAGTGACAATCTGATGTCTATAATCCTTGCGATTCTTTGTAGCTGCCAAATAGTATGTATAGTTATAGACACATCAACAAAGCAGCACTGATTTAACTTTGTCAAGAGCTTCCATGATAGTTGCAGGGAATTTGGTTAAGTAGCTGAACAAGATCTTCATTGGGAATTATTAGGTTATGTATTTCTTCTTTGAGTATTCTAGTAAAGAGAATACAAACGAATTAGAGAGAGATATGTGTCTAGCCACACGTGATGGCACAACCTTCTAGTGCATCAACATGCATTTGCTGAGCTGGCAAGGTCATCACTTTGGCATGATACTCTGTTTTTGATGTAAAGGTGAGCTTTAGCTGGAGAAGTTTTCTCTATGGGCTTGAGATTGTGATGTAGGCCCATATCTTCTCTTTTGGGTTGGGCTGAGATGTTGATGATGAGATCCTCTTTCTGATTAAGAGACTTAGACTTTACATCCCTCCCTCTTGCCAAAAAATATTTTGTGTTACCGCAAATCACAAAATCACATAAGCTTAATTAAAATTGTTAAAGACTTGGTGCATATATCTGCTAAATGGTATTAAGCAGCATGATGAACAAGCAGAGTTGAATTTTTAGAGAGGTAAACAACTAATAGAATTTCACATAGTTCAAGAAAATATGTTTGAGATATAATAATATCACAAAGTATAGCCATGCGAGTTCAATATATGTAATACACAAAGATCACTTATCAGTTTCAGAAAAAATAGGTACATAAAACAATTGGCTACTTTTTAGCTGATCTATACTTTTTCTGATTTTCTCAAAAAAGTGTGGAAATCTCATATAGATCTTTTTGTGTCTTTGCAAGTTTCCCCATCACTATGGGTATATCGTCTTAAAGTGAAGTCATTAAAGCAAAAAAGGAGATACCAAGTTGAGATGTTCCTCTGAGATAACAAAGTGTAAAACTTTTTCCGTCGTCGCACGAATAAGGCGTGACACGTGTTTTCTCTCAGTAAATGCTCACTAATACTCAACTACCTTGATATAGTTATATATATAACTCTTTGTAAAAGGTACATGCATCCAATTTTGGGATACGTGGTAAACGAGTTTACTAAGTAAGAATGATCCTATCTGCCCACATGACCCTAAGCATTCATTTAGTCCCAATGTTCCATGACACAAGTCCAAAATAAAGAAAACAAGATGCAACAGAGATTCTAACAACCTATAGATATCATAGAATCTATCATGCATCGGCCTAAAAATAAGCAATCATGTATACTTACTCTCAATCAGGGCCGGCGTTAGGGGTGATCAAGGGGAGCAAATGTACCGGGCTAAAAACATTTTGGGTAAATTTAAAGGTCCAAATTTTTTTTTTTTTAGTAAGAAAAAGGTATTTTAAAGATTTTAAGATATTTTTAGTATGAAAAAGGCCAAATATTTTTTTTAGTATGAAAAAAGCCAATTTTTAAGATTTTTTTTAACATGAAAAAGGTCCATTTTTTTTTGTATGAAAAAATGGCCAATTTTTAAAATTTGTACAAGGACTCCAAATTAATTGAGCCGGCCCTGCTCTCAATCATTCATGATGTGCTACATTCAACTCAGACCAAGCAACCAGTCGTTCACTTACCACTAACTCATGGTCAATCGATCCAACTTTTTATAATCTCATTTAATCATCAATCATTCTCAAACAACCATGCCTCAGCATCCAACAACCTATGCAACAACCAAACTAGATATCTAATCACAGTCTTAGTATTACAGCGTACTAGTTCTATAAGCATGTAGAAGGTCCATAGACCTCTGGTTTGGATTGAACGTCACAAGAGGAATCTCAACAGCTGAGGGCGGGTCCACGTTCTCCTCAACAACGTGGTTAGGCATCTTAACTTCCCAAACAAGCATAATGAATCCTTCCTTATAGATCTTGAGCGATAGACAACTAGGGTTTTAAAGATCTAGGGCTTTTAAGAAACTTAGGGTTTTGATCTAGATTACGGTTACCTTTCTCTTACTAAAGAATTTTGGATCTCTCTTCTCACACACATGGCGACGGTGAGGCAAAGATGAGGCTGCATCAAGGCAATTAAAAGGCAGCGGTGGACAACTTTTATGTAATATTCTTTCGATATATATCAGCGGAGACATTGAAAGTAAATATCGCAATGAAGCTTTGCAATCTTGAAAAGATAATGCGAAATAATTCTTTGACATTACGAAACATCTCCTTGTACATATCCTATACTATTATTTGGGAAGTACATAACAAGTTGTAACATTGAGAAATATCTATACTATTAATTGGGAATCACTCTAACTTAAATAACCTTATAAAGTATAAAAATTTACAAAGATTGCCATTAGGATAATTACATTTAAAGAGTATAAAAAAAAATTCGTTAAAGGGCAAAACAATAATTTGAAACAAAAAAAATTTGCGGATCTTGGGTTACTGAATCGGATAAACACGCGGATCATGGGCTCGACCCGAGCGGTTGGAATTTGGCAATTTTGGGACCAGATCTTGTGACAATCAGTAGAGGTTGAGATTTGGCAATATTGTTATTAGATATTCCCTGCAATACACTCAAAATTAATTCGAAACCAAAAATGACATTATATCATTAAAGATATACCCAAAACAAACGTATCTCTTTAATTTTAAATAGAAAATAAAGATAGATAGTAAAAGTAATAAGATTTAGTTTCAAAATTATCCAAATTTGATGGTTGTTTCCGATATAATACGAATTCAGTTAATATATTTACCAAAAATAATAATTACTATATATTCATAACCTAACTAATCAAGTATATACCTTAAATCTTTCTTCAAAAGGATTCGCAAATATATTATTCCAATATATGATAACTTTAAACCCTAAAATTAGCTAGCCGACTGCCGCCGACCTTTCTTCCTATATATATAAAATGTCAAATACCATTGTATTTACTCACTAACCTTTCAAACGAAAACTTTGCTGTTGCTGTTGCTATTCACAAAAAAAAATAGCTCGCCGATCTTTCTGAGATTTCTTAAAGTTGGAGAAGATAGAGTTATTGAGATGGCACATGGTTCTCGCATCTTGAAATATTTTAAAAACCATCAACAGAGTTTTCAATTGTAAGTAGTCTCAATTATTATTTGTTCTTCCTTTATAAATTATCCATCCACAAATGTAAACTATGCTGCAAACTTCTTAATGGGAAAACATCATGGAACAAACTTTTCTATTTTTTTGTTTCTTAAATTTTTTAATTGGTTGTAAATTTTTATTTTCATGTATTATGATGTCTCTATTGTCATTGCTCTAAACAAACATTCAATATGATTCAAGAAGAGAACTTACCTTTGTTGTTGATACTTCTCAAAATCGATTGCTATCGAATTTCTAATGCCAAAATATAGCACTCTTCATCATATGTTCTCTTAACATTGTAACGGTTTCTGTATATTCAAGAAAAAATAAGAACTCAAAGCAGTGACTATGTAATCTTAAAAATTATGAACTATCATATTTGAAATAATAGACAATATTTCTTTCTACTCAATGTTTTACTATTTCTTCAACCGTAAGATTAAGAGATGACAGTATTACAGTAAAATATAAATATAAAAACCTTATTTGGGCTAATCGTATCTTAAGGTAATGGTAGGTACAAATTCACATGAAACATGAACCAATCTTATATATGAACTTTTTTTCTACAATAGACAAACAATTACATCATAGAGACTTGTGGTCAGTACTTAAGATCTTATTCAAGAATGATGATTAATTGATGAAATCCTAATTAAACCCAATTGATAAAGATCTAAAATTTCGAAAAAAACAGAAGAAATTGAACATCAATTCAACATTGGATTTTGAGAACAAGGAATCATTGTAATGGAACATGCATTGAATTATCTTTAATGGAGGAAATTTTAAACCTTATCCATGATTGAAGGGGCGAGCCATTTGTAACCATCGAGACCCGAAGAAGTTAGAATCACGAAGAAAAGACCAAGCTTGAACATAACCACACAGATCTTTCCCGTCCACAAGAAGAAGAAAAAGACAGTGATAATGAATCTTCTTCCTCTTCATGCTCTGCTTCTTGAGAAATACTTCGAAGTCCTCGCAAAGTTTAATATAATGGCCTAATTTCTGAACTACATCATCTTCCACTCTAACTTGCAGTTCAGAATCCACATCGTCCTCCTCGCAATAGGTCATCGGTGGTGAGTAAACCAGAAACGAGAAATAAAAACCCTAGATTACTAATCTACTAGATTCTCTGATCGTTGATGGAGAAAATGAATTATTCAATTAATCGAAAGAACCCTAAGCATGAAAGAACAAAAAGAGAAGATTTGTGTGTTTTGGGAAAGAGAACTAATTGTAGTACCAATTTTTTTTTTTTTGGGTATCTGTAATCTGTTAGGTATCTGTGTTCTTCTACTTCGATGAAGAAGAGGAGCTGCAAGGA